ATATATATATATTAAGGGTGTTTTAAGTAGTTTTGGGACATTCTTAAAAAAAATGAAATAGTTGGACTAAACAACATTAAGTTAAAACTGTTCTCACGTAAAAGAGTATAAGTTTGAACATATATAACCCTACCAAGCTTAAAATATAATTCGGCTCAAGTCTTGTACGACGTGTCAATTTTCCTTTTTTTTAATGCATCACTATTTCCCTAAATTATTTTGAATTTTTTAGTTAAGTCCTTAAACTAAAAGACAAAAATTATAATTGAGTTTTTGGTCTTTTACAAATTTAGTAACGGCTCCTTGAAATTAGTACAATCACCAGTAATTTGTAAGAGTTAATCATCTATACATTGTTAATATAAAGTTTTTTTACACTGACAACTAATTATATCTTTTAATTGTGTCATGTAACTATTAAATGTAAATGTATTTATAGTGACATGACACAATTATATCTTTATGATTTTCACTTTTAGTTTTAAATTTTTTTCTCTCATTAACATTTGGTTGTTCTTTGACATTAAAAATTCATTTCATGAAAAAAAAATTCAAAAACTAAAATTGACAAAAGTTTAAGAAGTCAAAAGGTAATTAATTTTAAAATATTATATATATATATATATATATTAAATATCGAGTTCTACGTCGACTTTAATTATGTCACGACATCGATCACGTGCGCGAGCTCATAGTCAATTGGGCTCGTGACTAATGTTAGGTCGACTTCAATCCCGTTCTCGTTTAAAGGGAAAAAGTTCTAAAATCATCAAGGTATGTCTAGTATAAATACGAGATATCTATATTATTAAGGACTAAGTTTAGTATCGAAGTCTATTTTGCAGGAACCACTCCTATCTCGACATAACTAACGTACCCAGGAGAAGAGGCTCACTAGTCTCATCAGAGTTATCGCCCCTCAGGCCGATCTCAAGTGAGAACAATATATATATATATATATATATATATATATATATATATATAATAGGAGAGAAAATATTTTATTTTTATTTAAAATTAAATTAAATTATTATAATATTCTTTTTATAAATTAATCAAATAAAAAAATGAGTAATTTTTTTGTCCTAAAATTTTGATGTAAATTGCTAACATACTCTCGCTAAAAATAGGTGGGAGTATATTAAGCAATATATATATATATATTAGTGCAATGATTACTATTGTCTTCTAGTAAGTTATACATGTTAGAGAAAGGGAGAATTGGGTCCTATCAGATCTTTTGGTCAATTGATGGGACCTGAACCGGAAGTGGCAGAGAGGTAATTGAATGTGCCTTAAACACACGCAGTGAGGATTGGTTGTTGATCCAGCGAGGACCAAAGTCAGTAACATATATTTGGGAAGTTACATCTTGGTGAGTAATGCTCCCACAAGATCCTTAATTTGTAAAGTTAATAAAGACCACCGATGCAAATTTAAGCCTCTGCGTCCATGTATGTCTCAGCGGTGTTGTCTGGCAAAACATTGATGCCATCTTTGACATGGCGTTGTCGCTTAAGAAAACTAATTCTTTACTTATATTTTACTAGATAATATAAACATCTGTAGCAACCTCGGTCGCGACGGGACGGCGAAAAATAAATTGGAAAGAGGAGTCGCCACCAATGTTATTTTTTACGGAAAAACATTGGAAAAACCATAAAATAGAAAATAGTCTGCGAAAACCAAATTTTTGAGTTCGGGAGTCGATTACGTATGAGGAAGGTGTTAGCACCTCACAACGTTCGTCCTAAGACGATTACCTTTAATTAATTAAACTAATTATTCATAATTTATAAAATATTTATCTCACTAAAATTATCAAATATATTTTATTTAACTAATTTAAATTATGCATTGAAAAAAAAGGTTAAAATTATTATTGTTATATAAAAAGGAGGATAATATATTTTTTATTTTTTGGCTCGACAAGATTTAGTTCTTGCTCCTACGTATCTTCATGTGTAATGAAGAATCAGAGTCACGTAGTTCTTTGTAGAAAATGTTTGTGTGTTGATATTTTTTTATTTAAATTTATTTTTGTTAAATATAGGATTCTTGAACTGTCGCAGCTCATTCATCTTAAAAATATAAAATTAACTAAGGTGTACACCAAAGTCAATTCAATGAAATTTTAATTATAATTATTGCTAGAGATTGTTATGAGGTTTTAGACGAAATTAAAGATAAATAGAGTAAAGTAGAAAGCTTAAAAGGAAATAACAGAGGATAAGAGAAAATAAGGAGGCTCGGCCTTCCATCTAAACATGATTACAATTCATAAATTAATAGGAGGCTCAGCCTTCCATTCAATGAATATTTTGGAATAATAAACTTGAAATTGATTATTAAAAATGTCTTAGATATTTAAATGGAGAGTATGACAAATAGAACTGTACACAAGAGATGATGAACGTGACTTCCACCACGGATCTCCCTCCCTTTCTCTCTATTTCCTCTTTCAGCTACTAGCCTCTGGATAAACAGAAACTTCGGGCAGAACCTCCTCCTCTCTTAGGGATCGGAACTAGGGCAGAACCTCCTCTCTCTTTCTCTCTCTCTCTCTCTTTCTTTTTTTTTTTTTCTCTCTCTCTCCCTCTCCCTTTTTCTCCTTCACTCCCTCCCTCTATTTATAGGAATTACAAAGTTACTATTCAGGTACTATTCACTCACGAAAATACTATTCATGAACAGTAAAAAATACTATTCACTCACGAAAATACTATTCATGAACAGTACAAAATACTATTCACTCACGGAAATACTATTCACACCGAAATTACTGTTCACATTTTTTTTATTTTTTATTTTTTTTTATTTTTATTTTTATTTTTTTAAAAATATACCTTTTTTGCTATATATATATATATTTTTTTTAAAACAAAAATTGACATTTTCCGGACGAAATTGGGTTACTACACTAATTCAATCTAACTCCATCTAAAATATGTTAATTATATCCTCCTTTTCTCAATTTTTCAGGTCTCATTAATTTACTCTTAGTTGAAGGCTGGAGGTTTGTATCTTCTCAATTTTAAATTGAACTATTTATGCCATTTAGATTTGTAATTCTAAACTGACTTATCATTGCTGGCTAATTCTCTATAAGTTTTTTGTAATCAGAACACATTCTAATTCATTTGTGCCCAAGTTCATATATACATACTTCAAGAAAACTTTGAAAATGACTCATTATAACTTTGTAAGTCAAAAGCTCTATAGAATTGTGTAATATAAAAACTTTGCTACAGTACAGTATATTCTTACTTTTTTTATGACTTATTTATTTTTTCTGACATTAACTTGTCATTTCTTTCTTTTAGATTTTCTTAACTTTTAAAATCTTCAATCTTTCAAAATACATTTATACAGATATTTTATAAATTATTAAAACAATAGAAATCAATAATGTATTAATTTTCAGTAAATCGGAAAATAATATACCATAACATCATTTATTGATGTTAATTGAAAATAAAATGATCTATCACGTTTGGTGAGTTTGGAGTTGGAATTCAGACGAAAATGACAGCCCGGATTAACTAAAAGTGAAAAGTCAACTTTTGAAGAGGGAGATTTATAAATAAAAATAGAACAAAAATAGTTAACAAATTAAGAAGAAAAAAAACTCCGAAATTCAATATTCTTTAATAAATAAAACTGCAATTTGTGGCGTATTAGTATTAATAATATTAATAATATGAAAACAGGCGTGGATTCACCGCTATGAAGCCCATTTAAAAGACGGTGTCCTTGGGAAATTTTTACTTAAATAATATTTTTTTTTATCTTGCTGAATGACCTCAATGCCAAGAAAGTATGACATTAGACCCAAATCCGTCATTTCAAAACATTTAACCATAGCCTCCCTGAATTCTGCAAACATTTTTGGATTATTGCCAATAAAAATTAGATCATCAACATAGAGGCACACAATAAAAATATTGTCAGGATCAACAAATTTGATATACAAAGTGTGTTCAAACGGGCATCTCTGAAAACCATTATCCACAAAGTAAGAATCAATCTTCTTATACCACCCCCTGGGTGCCTGCTTCAGACCATACAATGCCTTCTTCAATCTGTAGACTTTATCTTCTTTTCCTTTAACTTCATATCCTGCAGGTTGCTCAACATATACTTCTTCTTCCAAAGTGCCATTCAGAAAAGCAGATTTAACATCCATTTGATGAATTTTCCAATTATTTTGAGCTGATAGAGATATAAGCATACGAATTGTATCTAGTCTTGCTACAGGAGCAAATACCTCAAAATAATCAATACCTGGCTTTTGTTTGTACCCTTTTGCTACCAACCTTGCTTTAAGGCGATCAATCTCTCCACTGGACTTGTACTTAGTTTTGTACACCCACTTTACTCCAATTGGCCTTTTGTCTGCTGGTAAGTCTGTCAGCTCCCATGTTTGATTCTTCTCAATGGCATGAATTTCTTCATCCATTGCTTTTCTCCAATGTTGATTATTTGAAGCTTCTTCAAAAGTTACATGTTGCCTTTGTCATGGCTGAACCCAAAAATTCAAAGTCAATCTCATCCTAGATTGACCCTTTTAATAAAAATAAAAATAAATAAATCATATTGATAATAAATATATGAAGATCTAATTTAGCTTTAACAATTTCTTTTTCCATCATTTTCCTGCAAAATTAACAATTGCATATTGATAAATAATTTAAAATTTATGTTTAATACATCAAATCTATAAATAATTGTATATTTATGTTTAAAGTCTCTATTATTTTTTCACTTTTTGGACACATAACTTGTGCACATTGAAACAAAACATCATAAATCTAATTTCAGGTTAGAAGTGTTATGTTTTTCTAATTTGCAATTCTTCTTCTCATGATAGAATATAGAGAATAATGAAAAAATATGATAAAAGATAGAAATTTAGAAAAATTGGTACATAAACAAATATGCTAATATAACAATGTGTAAGATTGATTTTATAACAACATAACAACGTAATAATTTATGATTCACCATTTATATTATAAATAGACAAATAAATTATAATCTTTAAATTAGGATAGTTAATATCTCGATAGTTTTATTTATGTGCTTTTCATTTAATTAGAAAATGAATTGTACTAAATATTTACTCATGAACTTTATATATACCTTTATTAAGATATTTCTATTTCCTACAATCATTTCTAACAATGGAATAATGAAAGATAGAAAAGAGGGGACAAATGCCCAAGGGAATAAGAAAAGAGTTAATCAAGATTTTATTATGATATGGGAAACTTTACATTGTTTGCAAGGGAAGGCTGAAATAGGCAGACATTGGGAAATTAATTAGTAGAAGGAAAGAAAATAAGAAACAACAATGGAGTAAGTGATAGAGTGAATGAATCTTATTTCTTAAAAAAAAAAGAGTTAATCAAGATTATATTATGATATGGAAAACGTTACATTGTTTCCAGGAAAGGTTGAAATAGGCAGACATTGAAGAATTAATTAGTAGAAGGAAAGAAAATGAGAAACAACAATGGAGTAAGCAATAGAGGGAATGAATCTTATTTCTTCTTAGTGGGATAAGAAGCCATCTTGAGGATTCCGCAAATACCCTCTGGCTTTCCAATGTTCCTCTTCATTCTTATGTATCCTTTCTCTCCCCATTTAGATCCCCATGAATTTTTCACTATGATATAATCCACTCCTTTTGAACTTCGCCCGTTCTGATTTCGGAACGGGCCGTTCCACTTCCAAAATAAACACGAAAATAAAAAAGAAAAAAAATTTAAAGTAACTCAGAATTCGGTTCCCGGGGAACCGAATTCTGAGTTGAAAAAACAAAAAAATAAGATTTTGAAGCTCAGAATTCGGTTCCCCGAGAACCGAATTCTGAGCATGAACAGTAAATAGTTTTACATTGGTAAATAAACCTGCACAGTTGATACTTTTGTAATTTTTTTTAAAAAAAATATTATTGAAGTAAAAATTTCTGTCCTTGGAAAACCGCGGTTTGAAGGCCCATGGTTTTATTTTCCTGGTATCCATAGCATATCATAATATTATGTGTCACTGTCTCCATTCTCTGCAGTCTGCATATATATATATAGTACTTAGCAGACAATTACTGGTTCATTTGGGTAGAGAGAGAGAGAGGAAAGGAAAAGGAAAAGCGAAAGACATGATGGTGGGGCAGTTGACGGGAACCAAGCCCAGCCGGAGCGACGAGGTTTTGGACGGTGAGGAACAACTGAGGATCGCCAATCAGATCCGAGCCCAATTCGATGCCTTGGAGCCCAAGCGACCTACCAAGCCCAACCGAAGCGAACCCGATGCCGTAGCCCAACACCCCGCCGTCTCAGTCATCGATATACCCGAGCTTCACAAGTTTCAATCCCTTCAATCAACCTCTCATGTCTCTAACCTCTTTCTCATCCACTTTATTTTTCAATAATTGCTGCGCACCTAATACGTAATACCTATTGCTTTTTCTGATAACCGTTAAAATTGACAGGCTATAATTTCATCGCCGGGGATGGTGGGTGCACCGGATGAGTTTGTGGAGACGCACTACTACAAAGAATTGATATCTATTGACAAACAACATCACACGGTTCGTCATTAATCCCTGTCTAGATCCAATTATATTTAAGCTTCATTTACTTTAGAAAGTGTACCTCGCTTAATTTGTAAGTTGCTTTTTCTCATCTTTTAAGTCTTGTAATTAATTTAATCAAATTGGAACTGGACCCTCTGAACAGACAGGGAGTGGGTTCATAAAGGGTATGGGAGAAGGAGGGGAAGGTGGATATGATGAGATTCAGTTACCTCATAACCATGTTAATGCGGCTGGTCAAAGAGCCTATAAAAGCAACCCTGCCACCAACGACTGGGTTCCTACTTCCCATGAATATCAGGTATAGACAATTTTTTTGTTCATACATATGTACTATCGTGTGAATTAGTCTTATGTTCTTTTGTGTTTTAAGTTGTAACAGGAATTCGTCTCGTCCAAGCCAAATAGGAGCGAGAGTACTTGATATGCTATGCTAATTGCTAATTGCTAGGTGAAAATGGATTAATCTTGTACCACATTTTTTTTCTTTTTATTATTTTGTATGCCTATTTGCTGCTTACAGGAGATTGGTGTTTGGTGTGGGGGTACAACGGTCGTTGTATGATTACATTAATACTATAGTCTACCAGAGAAAGGAGTTTCTGAATGCTATAAATCTCGTGACATGATATGCTTGCCTATTGACCACCTAACCAAAGTCACCTATCTTCTAGGTTGTAGTCCATTTTCACCACTTTTCAATTAATTTGTATCGGGACAAGTTTGAATAAATAAATAATTAATCATGGCACGGGTCTTTAGAGGTTTTTATGAAAAACATTAAATTAATTTTCTTAAATTTTATTTTATTTTTTAAAATCATATTGTACCCTCCCGGTATTTTTCAGATATGTTGTGGCAAAGAGGGGTGAATGAGTACACTAACAGTCATACCTCTTCTTCCTAGTAAGTCTGTTGTGGATCACCGCATTTGAGGTATTATCCACTTTGGTATTTGTTCGACCGTTGCGCTTTGGCATTCGTTGGGTCGTCATGGTTTTGCGTCTCGGTAGGTTAAGGAGGGAGAGTATTTATAAACTATCCTTAGCCTCGACTCCAAAGTGATGTACGACTTTTAGGCATACCGGAACAAGTCTTCTAATTGATTTCTAGGACCAAATGTTCTTACCGTAAGTCTACTGTCATCGTTAGGGTTAACACATCCAAGATATTATCCGCTTTGGCACTCATTGGACTGTCATGATTTTGTCCTTTAAAAGGCACCTCGGTGAGTTAAGGAGGGAAGATGTTTATAAATTACCTTTAACCTCGACTCTTAAGCAATGTGAGACTTTTAGGCATAGCAAAACACTCCCAATTCTCTAAGGTATGTTAAAACACTCCCAATTCTCTAAGGTATGTTAGTAAAAAATTTGATCTAATGTATCTTATATCTAGAATACAATTTTATCTTTAATAATTAAATATTATAGTACTAAAATCACCTTAAATTTTTGTAATATTTTTGGAGTACATAAAATTCATGAACAAATAACTATAAAAGGTTGAATCCTAAATTTAAATAGACAAATTGCACTCTTGAATATTTTTTCATTGGTTCTCACCTAGAACAAAATCCTCGTCCTCCAAGACCGGAACACATAATCATAAAGGGTTCTGAATATATTCTTTGATAAAATAATACTTTCTAAAGTAAAAAAAAAAATCAACTAACAAATCTAATGCTACGATACTTTCTCACCGTAATGCGAGCTGGAATGCAAACGTGAATCCGATATGCTGCTATGGCCTGATATATGCTTTTATCAAATCAATGATCTATGTCAATATATATATATATATATATATATATATATATATATATATATATATATGTGTACT